ATACAATGCACCCTGTTCTAGTTAACAAACAAAACATTATCTAATACGTTGTTTCGCTTCCACCACATACATTGCACCCTGTTCTAGTTAACAAACAAAACATGATCTAATACGTTGTTTCGTTTCCACCACATACTTTTATACCCATACATTTTAAGCTTCTGAGAAACCAACACTTAAAAAAAAAAACTGTAACCAGTATTTTATTTGTTCTAAGGTCTTACACCACATACAACGTTTTGGAGATGGTATTATAAATGTAAGGAATATGTTACAACCTACCTCGAAGTTCTTGATGCCTTGAACGAAGATATTTCAAAAGTACCTTTGCTACAATGATGGTGATAAGGACAAGTACAACCCCAAAGACAATGCCTAGTATATGGGGTAGCTGGATCATTCTCATCATAGAGGCTGGAATAACACTACTCACTAATTAAAACGAACTTTTATAAGGGCTAAGGTACCTCAAAATTATCAAATACCCATCTCTTAATGATAATATGATAATTAAAGCAATAATATTCAATCTTCCTCCGTGTCCGTAATGTTGAAGGAACAACGCGCCAGACTCACATTCAGACGCGTTTTATTAACTTAATGATTTTCAATGAAACATAATAATTATTGAGAATCCCTAATAATTATTTTATGATTACCTTCGTATAAGCTTACAGCTAGATCGTTTGCTTATTTAATTTTTTATCTTCCAGACACTAATCATTATTGCAGTTTTGTACGTATTAGTAAGGACATTCATTATATCTATCTATCTTTAAAGATGTATATATATATAATTAGTTGCCAGAAGTTATTTCATAATATGACTAAAATCCTTCTCTATATAGTTTGGTTACAATAATTTAGGTTTAAACCACGCCTTACAATCGAATAGAATTGTTTACATCGAAACAATGATTTTTTTTACAAGAAATAAGTTTACATACTTTCAAACTTGACAAGATTACTATCCTATATATGAAAACATAAACACACGTTTCTTAGGCAAGCAGTAGGCTCTCTGAAAATGTAATACTAATTATTCTAAGCATAACTTGACTTGTTCTTAATTGAAGATGTTATTTACAAAAAGCTCAATCGTTATAATACAATAACTTCCACTTAATTACCAATGAATAAAATGACCGTGAACTCCAGAGAATCTTACAAGTTGTTTTATTTGCCCAACGTTTCGGTGTTACGTCTTTATCAGGAGGATTCAACTTCTTTAAATGATAAAGTTTATTACAGAAATTGTCTGTTCCTGACGAAGTCGTAACGCCGAAACGTTGATCAAATAATACAACGTATAAGATTCTGTGGAGTTAACCGTAGTTGTATGTATTTGCTTCAATCAGCATTGCATAAACTAAAAAGAAAAAACAGTCAAAAACAATTTCACAGTGACTGCTTGTTAGACCAAAAAAAAAATACTATTAATTTCAATTTGATGGATTGGCTGATCCTGAAACGTTTCTACAAAATAAAGTTAATAACACCTTCTCATCCAGAAGACTTTTACTTATTTGGGGTTACTACGGGACACAAAATGACAGAAATATGTTATACTCTGGGTCCATTGACGTGTCAAGATACATTTTAATTACAGGTATATAATTACAGGTATAATTACAGGTGTATAATTACAGGTGTATAATTTCAAGAACATACCATTTCAATTTTTTGTTATGTATTCATTAAAGGTCTACCAGAAGCTCCTAACGACTGCGTCGTCATTAACAAAACAAAAGAATCTTTCAATGTGCGTTGCTTACCGGGATTTGATGGAGGGTTATCACAGCGGTTCCAGGTCGAAGTATTCAACGAAAGAAAAGAACGTCTTGTAGCCAATATTTCTGCTCCACATGTTCCTTTCTTCTTCATTTCTTCACTGCCTGCCGGGACGCAATTTATACTTGTCATGTATGCTGTCAATGCTTTGGGGAGAAGCCCATCCGTTACCCTTCAGGCTAGCACACTCGCTGGTCAGTTAGAGTCAAAAACTAAAGGCAAGATTTGTTTCTGTTTCCTGTAATTCGAACTCAACTGTAAAAAAATTGCATATTTGAAGGATTGTGATAGTTAAATCTTACATTATGTTTTTCGTAACTGTGTTGTAATGTATATTTTAAGGACTGGTGATAATTAAATCTTACATGTAGACATACAATATCTTACTTCTGACTGAAACGTAAATTATGGTGATATCACGATAACTTTCCTAGAAGTTACAAATAAAGTAACGAAGAATTACAGGTATAATTACAGGTATATTTACAACACAGTCACGAAAAACATAATGTAAGATTTAATTATCACAATTCTTCAAATATACATTACAACACAGTCACGAAAAACATAATGTAAGATTTAATTATAACCAATTCTTCAAATATACATTACAACACAGTTACGAAAAACATAATGTAAGATTTAACTATCACCAATCCTTAAAATATACATTACAACACAGTTACGAAAAACATATTTGAACATTAAAACAAGTACAAGTAAATCTTTATTTTTCTAGAATACTTTCCAAACCAATATTCAAAAGTCTGAGGTTATTTGATTTTAATTTCTTAGTTCCCCCTGCTGATTTATGTTGTAGACTTGTATATTTTGTCACAAGTGACTTGAAATATAAACATGTTTCAGTACTTTCGAAAATTAAATATTTTGATCAACCATTTTTTTTTTTACCCTGAATAATGGTAGTCTTGAATCAGCCATTTTCAAAGTTCAGTATTTACTACCAGAAGTATTTAAAACTTCTAACTTTGTAATGCAATATTTTCACAGAAATTTCGCCTTTAGTCTATTTTGCATAAATACAGTATTTTCTGGTAAGTTTTGGGGCAGTATAATTTTTTTTATTAAACTTAGAAATTACAATTTTGCGAAACAATATAAATATGTAATTTATTGAATATTTCCGAATCACATTTAAATTGCTATTGTATTCGCAAAAAACTACGACTTCTGTGAAACATGTTAAAAAATGAATGGTCTATATAATAGATATGATACAAAAGTACTTAACTCTGATCATGATTATTAAGTATATATATATAATAGACTCCCGATAGCTCAGCGCTAAACCTTGGGGCTAATAATGCTAAAAGTCGGGTTTCGATACGAGCAGTGGGCAGAGAACAGATAGCCCAATGTGTAGTTTTGCGCTTAATAATAAATGAACCGAAGTTATAAGTTATATCACGCTAATTATTTATAATATAAATACAGTTTGCTTATCCACCACCTATACTTGTATCCTAGTATGCCGATTTTTTAGCATTCAATTAACGTTACGGAGCTTAAGAAGTACATTCTGATTCTAGGCATACAAACTGAACGCTGTTTTTATTCAACACACATGTGCAGACACATGTGAGCTTTTACACTTTGAAGGTCAATGAGAAGTAAAATGTTAAAAACGGCTTAAAAACAGTAACATTTGAAACTGAAGTAGCCAAGATATCTTTATACGCGCGCGCACGATACCTTAATAAAAAAAAAACTATGTGGCCAGAATTATTAGTGTAAGAAAGACACTAAACAACAATAAACGTTCTAACAGAAGCTTATTTTGAGATACGATTACCTCTGGCAAACAAATGTGTTAGTTTTAGAACTTAGAGGAAGGTTTGTTTTCAAATCCAAATACTATAAAATCGTGGAAGTATTTTTTTTTGTACCTCCAGGAACGATTTTGTATTGACACGGTATTTCCTGTCGTCCGACATGATTTTCAGCCCAGCAAAAAAGTGTTCCAAAATCAATATGTCCCAAAAGAGAAATCGTAGTAACGCTTGTCGTCCAGTTACTTGTAGCAGTCTTGACGGACGTAACACCTAAGGTGTTGTTGAGTATCCAATGGAACTCAACATTCTTTGGCTCTGCTTCTACCTCGCACAAGACGTTAACTTCTGAACCAGGTGAAACTGCGATCATTTTTAACTTAGGATCTTTACATACCGGTGGATCTGAAAAAAATGTTGATAGAATTCTATTACTAGTGTATAATTACTATTACTTTCTGTGTATAATTTGAAACTCCTTATCAAAGTTAATGAAAAAAAATGAAATACTAAAATTCGGGGGTAATAATACCCGTGGTGGGCACATCACAGATAGCCCATGAGGTAGCTTTGTGCTTAACAAATAAACAGACTAAATATTGTTTCATGAAAGATAAAAACCAACAATGGAATCTTTAGTTCGCTAATCGGAATCAAATTAACTTAAATACATTATAATATTTTTAAGAGAAATTCAAAGCAAGTAATTATTTAATTCCATGAATTTTGTGCTACCAAAATCAATCGGGAACTGGGGTTTAAGCGTCACAACTTACTGTTAACCATCTAAGGAACACTTTTAGGAAGTCTACTGAAGGGGCCGCGTTAAGTTTACAGGCTTACAACTAGAAAATTCGGGGTTCGGTTCCCCGCGGTGAAAACAATATATAACCCAATGTGACTTTGCTTTCAAACCACTAACCAACTCTTTGGGAAAGCACGAACCCCAACAAGGAACAAAATTTTTGTTTGAGTGGCTATTTTGTGGAGTAAAACATTTTGTAAAATTTACTTTAGTGTGTGTGTTGAAGTTATGTAGTTATGTAGCATAACTCAGGCGCTTTTTGTTTCATCATCGTACGTTTAATTTCATTTAGTTAAATATAATACGATTATTTATGTAAATTTACACGGATGCCTCTGCAACTGTCGCACTCCAAAATGCCCAGGATAAATATTTCACCAGCGCATTTTTGATGCCCTGAAACCGTAAAATCATTTTATTTGACATAGTACATACGTTTTGTACAAAGTTTTCTAAATAAAAAGCCCCCCAGTGGCACAGCGGTATGTCTGCGGACTTACAACGCTAGAAACGGGTTTCGATACTCGTGGTGGGCAGAGCACAGATAGCCCTTGTGTAGCTTTGTGCATAATTAAAAACAAACAAACTAAATAACAAAATAGTAAAAAAAGAAGTAATTCAACTGAGGTATGATTCGAACTTTTTTGTATGATTCGCCCTACAAAACACTCGGTTTATACCATTGAGATTCAGGGTCTGATATTTCTGTGAAAATAGCATATGACAATTTCTTTTTTTCTGATTAGGATCCACAGAATAAAAATACAACGACGAATTACTATTTCAGGCATTTTTAGAATGTGATAGTTGCCGAGGTATCCGCGTTAATGAATAATTTGGTAGATATTTTCTACAGTTTTTCAACAGAGCAAGAACTTATGCTAAGGAAGATAGACTCTTTGGCTATAATTCAAGCAATACAACGCAGTAATTCAGGGATAACGTTTCGGACTACAGGTTTGACTCTTCAATTAAAGCTTGATGCAGACGCAGGAAAGTAGTTTAAAACGACAGCACGAAGCAATTTTTTAAAATAAGATGTTCACACTAACATTTATTTAAAAACTTATTAGTCTATCAATAAAGGTGATTAAAGAACGCTACGAAAAAAGTTTGAAATGATTAACCAACTGATCCTCCCCAGTGGCATGTCTGCGGACTTATACTGCTAGAAACCAGGTTTCGATACTCGTGGTGGGCAGGGCGCAGATAGTCAATTGTATAGCTTTGTACTTAACTACAAACAATCAAACTGATAACAGTATAGTTACGTACATTGAACTACCAGTAGTTTCTCATCACTTCTTCCTTCCCCTTCTTGGTTTGTGGCCATACACTGATATTTTCCCTGGTGATGCTGCTGGACATTTTTTATCAGAAGTGATAGGTTATCTAAACTGATGCCAGATTTCAGGTCGGGAGTTAACGTAGATCCATTAAAGCGCCACCACACGTCAACTTCAGCAGGACTGGCGTCCACCAAACATTCTAATCGAACGTCACTTCCTTCCACCACACCATTTCCATTAAGTTGAGAAAGGATAGACATCCTCACCTGAGGAGTATCTATGAGAAATTAAGTATGACTTTGAATCAGAGGTGGAGTTAATATTGTTTACATTAAGAAATGTGAGAACAGATACTCAGATAAGAGGTGGAGTTAATATTGTTTACATTAAGAAATGTGAGCACAGATACTCAGATAAGAGGTGGAGTTAATATTGTTTACATTAAGAAATGTGA